GTATATATATATATATATATATATATATATATATATATATATATATATATATATATATATATATATACCCCTTGCACTTTCTCTTTCCACATCGCCAGATATAAAGAAACTTTCATCATTAATTAGATGATCCAACATCATATTTAGTTCAGGAGATCTCGGTGTGTTATCAACGCAAGGTTGGTCAAACACCCAAGATTCGGAAATTCCAGAACCTATAAATTGACATGGTGATTTAAATTCAATACCCACATGACAACCTAAATACATAGATAATATATAAGTATCTGAGATATACAATTTATATTAAGTGGTACTTCATGAAGATATGTATATTGTGAAAATCGGTACGTGTATGGGTTAAATTTAAAATACATCTATTACTTTCCTCATTGTTTTCGTTTATGTCACCATCAATTGTACAGAGTACTCAAGAGAAGCAGGAGGAGTAAAGAGCTTGCCTAAATGGGAACGTTGGCTTTATTGAGCTTGGTGAAGCTAAAAACAAAATAATATTTAAGCACTAGTGGTCTACCCCGTGCTTCGCACGGGCTGGGGATGTATGCATGTGTTTTATGCAAAATAAAATTTTATGGATTTTCCTTTACAATTACAATTCATGAATCAAATTTTATAAGTGATTTTCACACAATCTAGATTACTAATTATATCCAAACCTTAATGCCCTCTTTATACCCCTTGGACATTTGTCATCTATCTCCACTTTGTTCATGTATTTTTTAAAAAATAAAGAATAGTAAATTTTATAAAATGCCAAAAAATAAAAATAAAAGAGAGGGTCAAACCAAAGTCCCTCTAAAAAAGAGGAGAACCACTCTTAAGACCAAAGCCCGAGTTGAGGTGATGAAACCAAAAAAATGTTTTCTTCAACATGGCACACTTTGTTAGCATTCTGTCCTACGATGAATTCCCAATTTTTGGGACATAGACATTGTCTTCATCTTCTGGCTCCATATCTTGTACTCATTTTATTGAACACATATCTTCCCAGTCATATTGTTTCTTTCTTTCCATTTTGCACACCATAAAAAGGTTAACACATTTCATTTAAAAGTCAATGCAATTACTATACAAAGGTATAGATTGGTAGCTACGCTGCACATATTTTCTAGGTTTTTTTAATACTTTTTTCAGACTTTGGCAGCAAAAAGGAAAATTAATGACTAACATTGTGGAATGAAGGGACTGATAATAAACAAAAGAAATGATTTGCTTATCCTCATTATCTTATTTCAAGATTTCTTTTCTACAAAGTATTTTTTTAATCTTGTGCTTGATTATTGAATGTTAACCACATTTGGAAATTTCCACCCCATCCCCTATTTCAGATAGTTGCAAACACCACACCACACATAGATGTCATTTAAAAATATCATTCTATTTTGATATAAAATGGAAAACATAAAAAATAAAGCTCTCTTTTTTTGTTCCCATTTTAATAGTGTCTAGTTTCTCTTATCTAAATACAGATGTTACTTATAAAAGATGTTACTTATAAAAACATTGAATTTTTAACCATTTTAAGTGGAAACTGCATATAAAGGTAACTGTTCTAACTGACTTACCCATAACTTATTTGCTCATTTGCAAAAAGATAGTGCATTGTCTTTAGAACTTGTTATGATGGAACAAATCCACAATTTCATCGTTTCATAATATAGTTTTTATTTGACACCAAAGACAATGGTAGGAAATGTAGGAACTTTTTTAGAGTTTCAATTTGGCATTTTCTTGAAGCTCTAGCACCCACCCAAAGTACCCAAGTGAGCTATAATACTCTAGCACCCACCCGGAGGGGTGCCAATTTGTGAAGAAAAAAATCAGCAAAAGCACATCATACAAACCAAAAATATTACTGTAATTTCAAAAAGGTATAATGAAGAAATGTGTGCCAAAAATGTCAGGTACTAATGAGAAAAGAGATGGGCTTTGGTTATTGTTGCATTAAGCATATCAAAGGAGATTGGGGGGTATATGGTAATGGCAATTATTTATTATTGTTAAAGGTCACATATTATGTCAAGCTATGCATTCTTTAAATCTCAAATAATAAAGATTTTGAGTAATCCAGAGTCCGGACATACCATTTTAAAATTAGTAATAAGCGTGGTAATATGACCTACTCATTTGGGGGTGGGCAGTAGCAAATGACAAAGCGAGATAAAATATAAATACATTAATGAATAACTCTAAGAAGCTCAGATAATATTGACTTTTGATGTTCATAAGAAGAGTGACAATCAAGTTCAGAGATAAAAGATGATTTGTGTTGACAGTCAAGTAACTACTCTTAAACTTGTTTGAGGAAGAAGACATTATATAGAGATTCAAAGACAACATAGAAGAGACATTTACCCATTTCGTGAAGATCAAGTCTTGTTTGAATGTCAAAAATATGTCGACAAAGCAACAACCTGAGACAATCAATCAAACCCATAAATCCAAGAATAAATTCCTGAAACTCACAATTTAATTTAATAGTATAAAATTCACTTGCACCTTCTCTCATTGCCTCTTGCCCAACATGACTTAGAGTACAAATGTTTAACTTAAAAAAGATTTGACTATTAAAAATCAACTACTCATGCTAAATCCAATTATTGTAGTCATTAGGTTTACCTTTCAGACCAGCAACCTATTTCTGCTCCCCAATTTTGATTTTCTAGTTATCACAAACATTGAATCTCCAACAAACAAAATTATAAAGACCTAGAGCCACAATACACCAACACCAAAAAATTAACATCTTGTGAATGATAGAACAAATAGAACAATTTAAACGCATTGAAGAAAGAAAAAAATATCAAGTGAAACAGCTATGGAAAATTAAGAATAATTTGCGATGGATATATCCTCCATACTTTATAATAGTACTAATGATAATAATTACACTAACAACAACAACAATAATAATAATAATATAAATAACAATAATAGTAATAAGAATGTCCCCTACTCAGATTTTGTGTGGGAAGCAGCAAATGACTAAGCTAGATGAAATATACATACCTTAATAAATAATGCTAAACTGTCACTGGAATAACATGTCAGAGATATACTGCCCGTTCCATGGAAAATTACTAATCAGTTTTTTACACCAAAACTAATACCAATAAACTCTTAACTTAACGAAGAATAAAAGATATTACTAACATCCTGCTGGGCAAAGGATTCCCGCGCGGCAAAACTACAGTCAAGCTAATCACAAATGGAAACCATCATAGGTTGGACTATGATAGAAACCATCATTTAGCACACATATGCAATACTATATCTAACTATAAAATTTAATGCTTTAGGTATCCTAGACCTTCAATTGAAAGAACACTACACTACTTTAAGTACAACCTTAATGTTGAATTGAAAATTTTCAACTCTCCAACAATTTTACAAAGAATAGACAAACCCACCCAAAGCTTAAATATGCTTCGATGCGGTGCATACACATATACTCATCTGAGATTGCGCAACTACTGTATATTTGGCTATTTTCTCAAAATTAAATCTCTTTTATTTTCACGTCTATCCGTTCTCCACTTTAAAATCAGTCAAATGGATTTGATTCAAAGTTTTGCATTGAAAATCCCCATTTTTTCAATTCTTGGTTAGTCCAAACCAGTGGAGGCGTCAACAAACGCGGCACCAACCTGTTGATTGCCCCTGCCAACATCAGGAACAGAAACACTATAATTGGTTAGTAAAGAAAATACTTTCCAAATAATCATAAAAGCGCCCTACATGGCTTGACACATAAACTCATAACCCTCGATGTAGTGAACGCAGTCCGACTCAGAAAGAAAAATCAAGCCAAGCGCCGAGTCATATGACACATGTCAGTCCCAATGCTGAAAAACTAAATCTTGCGCCTTCTTAGCATTTGTATCCAAAACATCCTCTAAGACAATTTCGGAGAGTATAGTACAGTCTCAAAAAAAAGTTTGCTATTGGTAGAAATGTGCATCATAAGATTCATAATAGTGAACTTTTGATGCATGGCTCCATATATAAAAAGATCATAAATTCTGCATAGTTGGAAAAAGAGTCTATAATGAATCAAGTCCTAATGGAGGTGTATCCCAATGTTTTGCCTAATAAGTCTTCAAAATAATATACTCCCTCTGTCCAAAAAAACACATTTCCTTTTTCAACAATCACAGGAACTTTTCATTATTTGTACGTTTTCATTAATATTTCATAAAATAAAATATTCTTGACACCTATTATTTTGAAGAATTTTTCATGTAGTTTTTAAATATTTAAATTTTATTTTTTATCTTTATACCAATATTTAAATAAAATGAATTGAAAAAATTGATATTTTACATCATTTTGCAAAATGTGGCAAACAATCTGGGACGGAGGGAGTAAAATGCAGCTCTAACCGCATCAATTCAGCTCTAATTAGACAAAATAGGGCCTGCACAATCCAGACAATCAGGCAATAACAGGGTGATGAGGCAAAGTTGCAGAGAGGTGGATTGTGGCAGACGCTGATAGAAGGATGTAGGATGACCGGAGAACGCTAGTGAAATCAGGGATGCTGCCTCGTGGATGGCAGAAGATGGTTGTATATATAGACAACAATTGAGACAACAGTTGATATGAAGAAAATACAAAAAAAAATCAACCTATTAGCATTTGAGACAACAATTGATATACACAGTGTATGGGAAGTTCCTACTATACATGTCTTAAAAGAAAGAAGTATTTATAAGTAATAGTTCTGTACTTAAAAAAAGTAATAGTTCTAATATTTAGTCCACACATAAAACTTCTTTATCAAAAGATATGAATCATTACCTGCATTCTCAAAGGCATATTCAATATTTAACCTACATTTGAAGTTTTGCATATGTCCCACATCTGCTTAAAGGAATTAATTGCCAGAATAATCTAAAGCAAACTATTAAAGAGATTTTGAAAACAATGTAGCTATCTTATTTTAAAGGCTAGACTTGGAGGCTTACAATGAAGGAAATGACTGTTTTCCAATTGTCATGTACAAATTAACAGGGTTACAATAGTTCATTCCTACTTACAACCTTTCTTCTGATTTCGTATTTTATATCGGTTAATTAGTTTTTTGACTTAACACCATCAACATTCATATCCAAAATGCGAGGGATAAATGACTAAGTGACAAAGCCAACCATTTTTGTAAGGAGCAATGGAATATAGTATAAAATAAGCAAGTTGGAAAGCATATAAGATGTCATGATCTAGAATAAAACCCATAAGGAAGGAGGAAAAAATAGAAGAAAAATATGTGGGACTTCCAGCTGACCAACAAAGAAAGTAATTTATACAAAAAAAGTGCCTCACAACCTCCAAGAAAGGCACTTGAATTACCTACAACTCAGCTGTTTAAGCATAAGGTTGAAATTTGTCTGACAAAAAAAGGGATATTTCTAAGGTTTTTTCTCTTCTCAAACATAATTTTATCTCTTCTAATTCATAGCTAATATTATTAGAGCTTATATGTGTAAATGAGACAGAGCATACCTTGTGGAGTTTGTAAGGGATGAAGTGAACTTTTTGTGTCGCTTATGTGGTGCTTTTACGGTGTTAAGGCAAAAGCACACTTTTTCTATAACATTATATTGCTAGTAATCTCATCACATCCAGGAGTTCAATACACAAATTCAAATTCTACCAAAAAGTCCCATTGAATTATGCATACAACAGGGAACTTGCCTTGAATATAGATCCATGTGAACTAAATAGTTTAATATTTACCTCATTGTGAAAATAGAGCATACCTCTACGAAGATTAATACTATGTTTAAAAGTAATGCTAAGTAAAGTTAGAAAGCTGATAATGGTATTTAACAAAAAAAAACAAATATAATACTTTAAAATTACCTAGTAATTTCCATTGCCAAATTGATCGATGTCAATGGATTGAGTTCAGCCTTCCCATTTAGGTACTCATGAAGAACACCCTATAACAACGTGTAAAAAAAGTTATTATCGGAAGAAAATCCAGTCATAGTGGGAAATAGAAAATATTTTACTCCAGCAAGAACCAAAAAATGCAAACCACGTCCCCCCCTTGAATTTTACCTTATGTCAGAAATCCATAGTCAGACGCAAACTAAAATGAGAAGGTAATGGAGATAATTGTTATTTAAGGGTGGCATTCACATATGAGAAAGAAAATACCTGATCGATGAAGGCTCCTGAGTAGGTCCCGAAAATTGAACGGATGGTCATGAGGAAAATTTTGATGAAAACACTTGTTCAAATTTAGAAAAGAGCATACCATAGTAGTAAATTTAACAAACACTTTGTGTGCATGCTCAAATATTAAATGCAAGCATTTACCCTAGGTCACCTAAAAAAACAAATAGAGCTACATAAAAATGTAGAAATTGAATCACAGATCATAAATTACCATGCAAGTGCAACTAAAATAACAAATCAACTGAAGTTTTCATAAGATTTTGATAAATACGCAAATACCTGAGAGGGAGTAAGTTCCAATGGGAGTTCTAAGATAAGAGCCTTTGATTTTGTAAGAATGCCAACACTCTAATCTATCTGAAATATTCCATCTTACCTTTTTAATCTCATAACTTGCGGATTCACGTACCCACCCAAAGTTATCTTCATCTTTCAAACAAATTGCAGTGTGTCCTGAAAATGCTCTACTTACCCATTTCTCAAGTGTTTTAAACCAACCCTACTGGCCGTAGATTTTTTTAGATGGCTATGAAATCACATGAGTGGACAGCATCCGGGTTAATCATAACATGTCATGGATGAGGATGTTTTTCAATAGTTGCTCCCATGTGTTTGTTCAAGGAAGCAAAGTTAGCCTTCTAACTCCAAACTGTGTTGGAGAATAGAGGCAGTACATTCATCTTGCAAACCAAAGATGCAAGCATCCCTGTAGTCATGAGAAATACAAAGATCCCGTGCTGTTTAACTTGTGGGAAATCTCATAAGTGTTGGCAAATTTCTGACCTTGTGAACTAAGCCAATTAATTTTTTTAATAAAATTTGGCAACCAACTTCTTAGATGAATTAAAGCAAAGAAAAAAATAAAAAAGTAATCTTAAAATAAATATTCATAATTAGGGAGCCCATGTAAGATTACAAAAGAATCTCAAATATAAAAATGAATGCATTTGTGTTTCTGCTCACAAAACCAAACTCGATGCATTTTTATTAGACATAAAAGAGAAACAAATCATATTCTAAAATGCAAATAAATATGATCATCTTCATCATCATTGTGAGAAAAATAAGACAAATAAATATAAATAAAAGAACAACGAATCCTAATTCCTACCATACTGCAAAATTAAAAGAAAAAAAATGAATGAAAACAACAGTTAAAATAGAAATAGAGACACCCCTACAATAACGATTCTTTTACCTGCTTTGAACATTTGATTGCAAAATAAGTGTCATGGCTAGCTTTAGTAAATCCAAAATTAGCTTCGCGGATCGCAAATCATCATCATCATCATCTTCTTCTTCTTCTTCTTCTTCTTCTTCTTCTTCCTCTTTGTGAGCATTCTGGATCGCGCTGAACATCCCCAACTGATTATCCTTTGAACTAAAAAAACGTGTTGGAGAGGAATATATTTTTGTTCACCGTTCTAATCATAGTAGAAAACACTAAGTCCAACATTCGTGATTGCAAACCATTCTAGAAAGCTAGAAACCATTGTCATTTCCTCTAAAATTAAAACCCAAACCTTGAAATAATTTCTGGTTGATGGTAGCCAGTAGGCTCTCGAACGCTCTCCTCTATTCATCGTCCTTCGCCTCTGTTAGCACCTACCATGAACGGACCTTTGGTGTTTTATAAAAAATGCTTCTAGATTTTGAATCTCTGTTGTCATCCTCAGCCTCTATCTCCCCCTCGTTCTTCACTCTCAATCTGGACCTTACACACAAAACCATAAAATATTCAAAGTAAATAAAACATTCTCAAAATAAGTTCCAAATAAACAGCAAAAAACAAAAAAAAAGATGCACTCTAATCCTTTGGCTTCTCTTTTCTTCACCTTTTTCTCTGTCACGACTAATATTTATCAATTCATAACCTTGCAATTAATCTAAAATGATTTCCACTGCCCTGTCCCATTAAATAATTATCAATTCACATTTAGATATAATGGTCGATAAAAAAGATTGTACCAGAGGAGTAAATTCAACAAACACCTTGCGTGAATGATCAAAAATAATTTTGATATTTGGGAAAGACTAACCTATCCCCCATTGATTTATGCCAATCAATATGATTTCTCCATTACAGAAGGCATTTCTTCGAAATGAATGGTATGAGTAAGTAACTTAGGGTTCAACATCAAAACATATGTATACCTGAGATGCCTATTGCACTAGAGCGAATCATTGAGGGAATTGTTACTCCGTCACGGCAGCGGCAAGAAAAACCTTGTGCACTAATTAGCACTTCGTCAAATGCGAAGAAAACCCTTAAAACAAATGAACTGAAGTGCACTAGACGGTTGTTTTGGTAATAAAGTGTGTGTTTTATGTGCATAAAAGGAAAGGTCTCACCTGCAGTAGACTGAAGTGCAACAGATATGTGACATTTTAAAGGAATTGCACATGGATCCTTTGCACCAGCTTTTGGTGTCAAAATAGCAGCATTCCTTTCAGCACCAAGCACAGTTTCTGGTCCAGTATAGGCTTTGTTTCGTAAAGACTGCAAGAGTTCCCCATCACGTATGACAATTGGGGAAATATTTTTTTTGCATATATTAAGATCGAATGTTCTGTCGGTATTTTGTTGAGGTAAGGAGGTTGTATAGTTTCGTTGTAAAAGTTTGAAGGCTTTCAAAACAGTGATTCTGTTAATTGTTTGGAAGAATCATAGTGAGTTTTGTATTTGTATGCACGTATGTATTATATCCAAAGTAATAGAATATATTGAAATAAATGGCGACAGTAGATGTGTCTATGTATTTACGTTTGTATTAATAAGTTTTTTAAAATGTTTTAGGGGGGCATAACTCGTATGTTTTGTATTAGTCGATGGTATATAGTGGGTTGTTGCACTTGTACCTCATTAATGGATTTCCATACATGTATGCCTCATTTAGTGATGTTGTCATTCTGCAGTGTTGGACTTGTATTGTCTTTTTCCTGTAGGAGAAGGAACTTATCAGTCACCTTTTTTGTTTATTGTGTATGGTTGTTTTTTGAAAGTGTAGTTTATGTAGTGTACCTGGGTAATATTGTTGAAGACCTCCTTGTAAACTATATTGCGAGTGTGGTGTGTGTATAGGGGGTCTTTTTCTTTTATCATAAAGTGAAGTCCTTGGGGTTGGGTAACTCTTGATGCAGCTACGTAAAGTTGGCCATGGGTGAACACAGGATTGGGGAGGTAGATTCCCACATGATTCAAGGATTGACCTTGACTTTTATTTATTGTCATGGCGTAGCATATGCGCAGGGGATATTGTCTTCTCTTTAGGACGAAAGGGTATTTTGCATCGTTGGAGGTTATTATTATTCTTGGGATGTCCACTACAGTGCCAATGTTCTTTCCAGTTATTATTCTTGCACGTATTACATGGTGACCCAAGTGATGGATTACCAATCTCGTCCCATTGCACAGTCCAAGG